GAACAGGTGCTTGTTAATGGCCAAGCTTCCCAAAGGGGCTGCAGCACAGCCCTGATAATTTAATAAAGTTTTTTGACTCCTAGGGTCAGCGTTTGCGTCAACCAGTGGCTTCTTGAAAGGCGGCGTGTCTCATGGCTGATGGGTTGTAGTGCGTTTGTTACAGACGCTGAGGAATTCAGCGCTGGGTTGGTGTTAGTGAGTGGCTGGCACCATCCTGTGGACACAATGACATTCGCATCAGGTCCCCTGGTTTTGCAGGCTGTGTGGGTTGGGAAAACACGTACCCAGAGGTCAGCTTTCTCCGTGGCTGGGAATAAACCAGCGCACTCTGCTAATCTGTTTTGCTCAGATAAGTTCTGTTTACTTCTAGTCACAGAGCCAAATATTCACTAGTCATCGAGTAACAAAACATTCTCTTTTTCAGCCTTCTCTTGCTTTTTAACTCGGCCATTTCCCAGAGCTTGTGAGAGTTAAGTGCGTTTTTTCTTCCTTAAAAGAAATTTTACAGAATATGCAGCAAAAGAGTTACAGCTCCTTAGGCTTGCAGAGTTGTTCAGTGTTTCTTGAGAATGATGTTCTTTTGAAAGGGCAGAATATCATCTTTATGCTCTGTTAGGAGAGGAGCCAGCGATGGAATCCCTTTCATCTTTTTGGAAATCAGAGGGGTGTCACAATCTGTCTGCCTCTCCTGAAAGAACCTACTATATCGAGCCTCCTGCCTACGCTTCATTCATGAGCTGAAGTGCTCCAGCATATGCGAGCTGGGCTGGGAGCTAAAATAAATCAGCGTGAGCTGCCTGGTTTGTGTCTGGTGTGACTCAGGCAGTGTACGAGCAGGTACGGACGTGACTCCTCGACCAAGACCAACAGACAAGGTTCTTCAGCCCTGGCTCTGAGTGAAAAGAGCATGTTTTTTGGTGGAGTGGCTGGTTTTTCTGGGAGAATGGCCTTTCCTTCCAGTCTAGCAGCGTGTGGCTCCCCATCTCCTTTGCCAATATTCAAACCTCTGCAACTAAACCACTTCTATTCCTGGGTTTCCTTTGCAGCCTCGCTGCTTTCTGTTGTATCTCTTCCTTGAGCATATTTATGTCTTCCCCACGCCCCGTAAATCAGCCACTAAGTGTGCGCTCTGTAGATAATACTTTTTATTTTCTGTATGTACACTTACGTACACAATTGGATGATCGCTTGACGTTCAGCGCTGAAGACCACAGACGGCACGCTACAGCAACGCCACTTTGTAAGGAGCGTGGAAGTAAACGACAAAGGAACTGCGGGATGAGCCCTGAGCCCCGGCCTTGCGTGGAGATCAGAGGGAGAACCAAAACCTTCGCTTCTGCTGTCTCTGTTTTTATTTGCTTCCACCTAAGTGGAGCAGAGGGACAAATCTGGGGAGACGGGAGGCTTTCTCATTTCCCAGCTGCTGCCTTCCTGACCCTGAGGCTTCTCCCCACGCGTACGGCCGCGTCCCTTCCCCTGTGCGCTTGTGAGTGGGTGGGCTGGAGTACCGGCGAACGCGGGAGCCCTGCCTGATGCTCTGGGGACCGCGGTGCCTCCGTGGCCTCAGCATCTTCCCTGTCATGCGGGAGTCGGTCTGCATCTCTGCCCCGAGGGAACGGGTCTTGCAAATACAGGGAGAAGCTGAAATGTGGGATGACAAAAGGCACCCAGCGCTTCTACAGATGGGCTGTAAAAGTGAAGGCTTGCTAGCGCCAGTGGAAATGTTGATGGAAAAAACTCCCCTGTGATGGGAAGGTGAGCCCTGGGCACGTTTGTACACACGCACACACGGTACGAGTGAAGAAGAAACCAGTAACGACAAAAGTGCTTTGAAAAGTTAGCGGCATTGTTGGTTAAGACAAACACCTTTACAGCTGAGTTGCTGCAAGAATTAGAAGTGCAGCAGTGCCATCAAATTAGGAGGTTCGTAGCGGGAATACCCATCTCGGCCTTCACGGATGCGGAGGTTTCTAAAAGCAGAGCAGCGGAGTGGCCTGAAGGTTGGTTTTATCCCACCCAGGTCGAGCGATAGATGGGGAACAGAGATGGTGGTGGGCATCGCCGAAGTGCAGCGTTCGAGCACCGGCCTGGCGTCACTGGACCAAAACAGAGCAGAAAGGTTTGCTTGGCGTGCGTGGAAGTCCTGCGGCTGGCTTGGTGACTTCGGAGGACGTTTAAAAATAAATGACTTGGTGTCAAGGAAGCAAAACGTGTCATGGGGCTGGCTGGGAGCAGCGGCTCTTTATCCCAGGCTTCAGCACCTGCCTGGTCCTAGCAGAAACCACCCTGGCTGAAAATGGAGGTGACAGCAGCGCTGGGGGAGATCAGCTGGGCTGCAGAAACCCTGGAAAGCTGTTTTCCTCCCCAGTTGCATCGTTTTGCTGCCCCTGGTTTGACTCTTCCCCGTGTTTCACTTAGGATGGAGAGCTTGCTGCGGGGTCCTCCGAGCGTCCAGCTTGCTGCGGCTGCAGGACTGCGTATTTTGGGGTGCCAGGCAAGCCGTTCCTCGCTGTGCTGGAGGCAGAAGCTTCCCCATGCAGTCGGAGGATGTTCAACTGCCGGAGAGCTTGCGGGAGAGTGTCTCTAGCAAGCTGCAGCTTTGTGTCCGCTGTGTCGATAGAAGCGAGCGAGGCTGGCACCACGGGTGTTTTAATGTACTCAGGTGCCCGGCTTGGACCAAGGGGGCCCTGTGCTGGGCCAGGTACCTGTGGGTAAAAACGGGTGGCGTTTGCAGGCTACTGCCTGGCTTGAGTGCTTCGATGAAGGCAAGAGAGGTCAACTGTCCCCTTGCTGCGTTGGTCCCCAAGCCTGGCTGGTTGATGGCCACCACTGGTGCCCGCGGTGCGGCCGTGCCGCTGGCTTTGGCGGACGCTTCTGTCCCTGTCCGGGCTGCGCAGGTAGGCAGCAGCCTTCAGCTCAAGACTTCCCATTCACGAAAGTCGTGTCCGCGGCCAGCAGACGGCCAGGCGGAGGGAGCTACTCGTGGTCCCACGGGCAGACGTCGGGTTGGGTTTCACCCACACCCCTGCCTCTGTCCTGGGGGCTCGCCCCGGCTCTGCCCTGCCTGCGGGGGGTCGGGGTGGGATCCACGCTCTCCACCTCCCACGGACACACTTCAGAGGCTTTCCTCGTGTCTGTGCTGGTCCTGTCAGATGCTGGCGGAGCCTCTTCTGCTTCCCAGGGACAAACCTCGGCTGTGCTAGCGCCTGGGCTGGGGCTGCCGCCCGCCGCGGGAGCCATGCTCGCTCCCCGAGGCAGCGGCTCTGCCCTGGGGCCCCGTGGGGGCTGGATGCCCGGCAGGATGCGGCACAGGGGCTTATGCTCAGCCTCGCCGTCAAATCTGCCCTTGGATTTGTTCAGCAGAGCTGTTGGAGACACGGCGCTGGCTCCTGCCACAGGCTTTGACCTTCCCATCCCCGTGGGGGATGCTCTGTCGGCTCCCTGTGGGTGCATGCCTGGTCTGAAGCTTTCTTTCTCCAAGCCGGTGGGCTCTGCTCCTTCCCAGGGGCAAATATCAGATTTCTTGCTCTCTGTGCTGTCAGACTTCTTGGACGGCTGTTTCCCCATTGCAGTTTTCAGGAAGGTCTCCTCCGTACCCAGGCTCTCCCAGGGGCAGATGGCCTCGCACTTGCTACTCCTCTTCTCCAGTGCTTTGGAGGCTCCTGCTTTTTTTGGTGGGAGGCTCGCCTTACCCGGGGCTGCTGCTTTCTCTGGCAGAGGTGCAGTTGCCTCCCAGGGGCAGATTTCTGCTTTATCGGTGGATTCAAGCTCCCAAGGACAGACCTCTGCCTTCAGGCTCCCCACGCTCTGGCGTTTCCTCAAAGGCGATTTGGGCAGCGCTGGGCTCCCAGTGTGGGGTTTTGCTGGGGGTTGCTCCGTGCCCAGGCTCTCCCAGGGGCAGACGGCCTCTCGCTCGCTGCTGCCCTTCTCCAGGGACCTCGCCGGGATGGCTAACGCTGCCTGGCGCCTGATGCGCTTGTCCCCCTTGGACCCCGCACCAGGACCCTGCTTTGCCGTTGGTTGATCGGAGGGAGGTGCAGCCACCTCCCAGGGGCAGATTTCTGCTTTATCAGTGGCTTCGACCTCCGGAGCCTCCCAAGGACAGACCTCTGCCTTCAGGCTCCCCACGCTCTGGGGTTTCCTTGAAGGCGATTTGGACAGCGCTGGGCTCCCAGTGTGGGGTTTTGCTGGGGGCTGCTCCGTGCCCAGGCTCTCCCAGGGACAGATCTCAGCCTTCGTGCTCCCCACGCTCTCCAATTTCTCGGCAGTGGCTTTCAGCAGCTCTGTGCTCCTCGTGCCGTACCCCATGGAGGGGCCCTCTGTGTCCGTGCTCTCCCAGGGACAGATGGACTCGCGGTCTCTGCTTGCTCTCTCCTTCTTTCCAGACGTGCTATCTCCAATCTCTTTGCAGAGTCCTTGAGCTGCAGAAGGGCTTTTGCTCACTATGGACAGAGCACCTTTGTCCTGTCTTGATTTCTCTTTACCTGATGGTGGAGCAGCCACCTCCCAGGGGCAGATTTCTGCTTTATCAGTGGCTTCGACCTCCGGAGCCTCCCAAGGACAGACCTCTGCCTTCAGGCTCCCCACGCTCTGGGGTTTCCTTGAAGGCGATTTGGACAGCGCTGGGCTCCCAGTGTGGGGTTTTGCTGGGGGCTGCTCCGTGCCCAGGCTCTCCCAGGGACAGATCTCAGCCTTCGTGCTCCCCACGCTCTCCAATTTCTCGGCAGTGGCTTTCAGCAGCTCTGTGCTCCTCGTGCCGTACCCCATGGAGGGGCCCTCTGTGTCCGTGCTCTCCCAGGGACAGATGGACTCGCGGTCTCTGCTTGCTCTCTCCTTCTTTCCAGACGTGCTATCTCCAATCTCTTTGCAGAGTCCTTGAGCTGCAGAAGGGCTTTTGCTCACTATGGACAGAGCACCTTTGTCCTGTCTTGATTTCTCTTTACCTGATGGTGGAGCAGCCACCTCCCAGGGGCAGATTTCTGCCTTACCACCAGCTTCGACCTCCGGAGCCTCCCAAGGACAGACCTCCGCCTTCAGGCTCTCTCCGCTCTGGGATTTCCTTGAAGGCGATTTGGGCAGCGCTGGGCTCCCAGTGTGGGGTTTTGCTGGGGGCTGCTCCGTGCCCAGGCTCTCCCAGGGACAGATCTCAGCCTTCGTGCTCCCCACGCTCTCCGATTTCTCGGCAGTGGCTTTCAGCAGCTCTGTGCTCCTCGTGCCGTACCCCATGGAGGGGCCCTCTGTGTCTGTGCTCTCCCAGGGACAGATGGACTCGTGGTCTCTGCTTGCTCTCTCCTCCTTTCCAGACGTGCTATCTCCAATCTCTTTGCAGAGTCCTTGAGCTGCAGAAGGGCTTTTGCTCACCACGGACAGAGCGCTTTTGTCCTGTCTTGATTTCTCTTTACCTGATGGTGGAGCAGCCGCCTCCCAGGGGCAGATTTCTGCTTTATTTGTGGATTCAAGCTCCCAAGGACAGACCTCTGCCTTCAGGCTCCCCATGCTCTGGGATTTCCTTGAAGGCGATTTGGGCAGTGCTGGGCTCCTGGCACCAGCTTGTTCTGCGGACTGTTCTGTGCCCAGGCTCTCCCAGGGACAGATCTCCTCCTTTATGCTCTGCTCGCTCTGGGTTTTCTTGGACTCTGCTTTTGAGGACTCCAGGCTTTTCCTAATGAGCTTTGCAAAGATCCCGGTGTCCCTGTGCTCTGGCCGATGGCCACCCATCTCTGCCAGCTTTGCTTTGATATCTTCAAGTCCTCCAGATCCTGGTTTGTTTTCCCCTTTGGAAGTCCCACGCGTGTCCTGACTCGGTCTCTCCTTCTCCGATGGAGCTGCAGGCTCTTCCCAAGGGCAGATTTGTGTTTTAGGAAGGGGTTCATCCTCCACTTCCCATGGACAAATGTCGGCCTTTTTGCTATCGATGGTTCCTGCTTGCTTAGGTGATGTTTTGGGCAGAGCTGGGTGTTTTGCTGAGAGCCCTGTGCCGGACTGCTCCGCGCCTTCCCCAGGGCTGGGGGATCCTCGCTGGCTGCTCCCCTTGTCTGCAGCCGGAGCCATCTCTCCCGTGCCCCTCGGGGCCCCTCTCCATGGGGAAATCCCGTTTTTCACTTGAGAAATTTCACCATCATCTAATTTTCCTGCATCGGATAAGGCTGTTCCCCTTTCCCAAGGGCAAACTTCTTCTGTATTGCTGTCAGCTCTGGCTGCTTCCCAGGGGCAAACCGAAGCCCGTGCGCTCGCCGGGCTCCTCGAGGTCACTTCTGGCAGCTCGGAGCTCCTGGGAGCAGGTTTCGGCCAGGGTCCCTCGCTGCCGGTGCTGCCCCAGGGCCGGCTGGGCGCTTGCAGGCTGCTCCCGCTCTCCTGCGCTCTCAGCAAACCCAGTGGTTTTGGTCTGATGCTCTTGACCCACTTGGCCAGCTGCCTCCTCTCTCCTTCCCGCCTCTCTTGCTCCGGCTGAGCCCCCTCCTCGTCCCAGGGACAAATTTCTGCTCTGGCGGAGCTTCCCCCTTCCCCGGTTTCCCACGGACAAACCTCAGCCGTCCTGCCCTCTGTGCTGCCTGCTGTCTCCGAAGCCACTTTGGGCAGCTCTGGGGTTTTTGCTGGTGGTTTCTCCATGCCCGGCTCTTCCCTGGGGCAGCCGGGATCCCCCTCGCTGCCGCCCTTCCCCAGGGCTCTGCCTGGCTCCCAGCGCTTGCCCCCGCTCTCCTCCCAGGGGCAAATTTCTATTTTAATGCTGGAATCTGCCTGGGTTTCCCCAGGACAGACCTCTGCCTGCCTGCCTGCTGTGCTGCCGGCTTTCCCCGCTGCAGCCGGGGCCACCTCCATGCTCCAGCTCTTCGCAGGGACCCTCTTGGCACCCAGGCTCCCCCCTGGACCGAGGGGCTTGGGCTCACTGCCCCCCTTCTCCAGCACCTTGGCCAGGCTCTGCCCACCCGGCGGGACCCCGCTGTCCTCCCGGGAAGCCATCCCCTCCCGGCGCAGCGAGGCTCCTTTTTCTGCT